TTATTTGTTGTTATAATGTTTATAAATTATGTGGGTCACATCAGACGATATAGAAACGCGTTTAGTTATTAATAAAAGTTATGGTAATATATATTTATTTATATAAACATACTCTATATAAGAAGTCTGTGGTTTTTCTCTGAAAATTACTTTTGCACGCGGCTTTGCCCGTGAACCTATAATTTCATTTATCTTTTTGACAAAGTTCCTCCAGATCCGTACAGCCGTTCTGGTGTGACTGAGTAATAAACGTGTATCCTCATTTTATCATTTACAATGTAACTTGCCATCAAACAAACTATGAATAATATTTGATCGAAGTTTGTACCTATACCTACTAATCTAGAAATTTCAGCAATTTTTATTTTAAATGCTCTTGTGAGGGTCTTTAGGAGCTTTGATGCCACCGTCAAACCGACAAATAATAATCTTTTTTGAGTCAGAGGTTAAAAAATAAAATGAAGGGTATAATACAAAAAGTGATAAATGTAAGTTACAAGAAGACCTAAGAAAGTTATAATCTTTCTACCTAATTTTTCTGGTAAAACACCGAAAATTATGAAAATCAATGAATTACAACGAAATCCGATATGATATTCAATGGCACACATTTAATACATGCACTCGGATTTATAGCGTGTAGGCGGACGTAACTGTACAAACAATTATTGATAATTTGTATTCCATAAACGATATCGTAAGCTTTTGGATGTCACCGCGACTCGTCACAGACAATTTCCGTCCAACAGTTGGAGTAGTCCAATAAAAAACAAACCATCTGTCAAATCATTAAAAAAAAACAGACAGAATGCGACGTCACATTTCGATTGGCATTGTAAAAAAAAATAGAACATTATTTTAAACTATTTAAAAACAGAATTGTATTGTCTATAAATTTAAACGCGTTCAAAGAATAGAATTTATTTTTGGCGCCATTCTGGTTCGTTCACTGGATGACCAGACGTACTATCATTAGCATGGTATAAAATAAGAATGCTACTGGCTAAATTCTAAATGATTAGAACGCCTGCGTTATTTTCATCCATTAGAAATTTCCCTAAAAAAACGTAATGCAATCTTCGTCTGCTTAGAAATAACTTTTGTCGCTTAGTCTAACCAACAACCTTCTCTGGAAACAGTAAGTAAGGTGTCTTTTCATAATATGTTTCATTTTTAAATTAAAAAGATAGACAAATATAATGTAAATAATCTGATGCCTTGTTTTATCCCTGGATGTCGTGTTAATGAGAGGATAATAATTATAATATGTAATTAAAACAATTTGAAAAAAAAACATATAAATTACTTCATTAATCGCTGCATTTTTAATCTTGGATCAACGCAAGCTGTCTGCGAATTTGTGGCGTAGGTGAAGTGCGGAACCTTTAACAAATGTTATTTTTACACGGATAACAAATATACTTTCTATTCAAAAGCTGTATTCGTTATAATGGCAACACCGCCAAATATATGAGCCACCAATGCAACTCGGGAAAACGTGACCCCGTTTTCAGGGAATTATTTTGTGGTATTTTTAATTTTATGAACGGATTCACGATGAAGTTTTGTTTATAATTCTTTTTCCGGGTGCTGGGATATTTTAAGTATCCTTTCACTTTCTAGGTTTATAAAAAAGAAACAAGCAGATTAATATTAACTCATAAATTAAATAATTTAAGTTCATTGCCTATTAGTTGAGTTCAAACAAATATTATTATTATAGATAAATCCAACGAATAGAAACGCATTAAAATTTGCCTGTTTTTCGCACTATTGTTTTTTTTTAAAGACAACTCCCGAACTAGGAAAATATCCTATGTCGCGGGGGGATTTACACACATACACGAAACGGACACAAAGAACACCCAGACTCAGAACAACAATTTGTGAATCACACAAAGTGTCGTCCCATGTGGGTATCGGACCCACAACACTCAGCGAAGTAGTGAGCGGCGTGGCGACCGCTTAAACCACTACGCCATCCGTGCAGTCAGTTTTTATTTCATTTATATTTCTAACTGATCCAACTAATGGTTTGATAGGCAGCCTAAGGCTTAGTAATATATTCATACCGTTCAGCATTGGCAAGGAATTCACTCTCCTATATGTGAAGCTAAAAAAGAAATGGCTTGGACTATTAGTTGTAAAGAAAATTTTTTTGGCCAAAGCTCAAATACTTGAATCATCTCATAACAACATGGTTTTTCGTAAGGATACATATTATATGATAGATAGTTATAATAATATTGATTCAAGAGCAACTATTTAAGAGAACAAAACTCTTACACTGATTGTAAATGTTTAAGCACTTATAAGTTGACTGATTATTACAAAACCTTGTTTTAAACTTTTGAATTTTCAATAACATAAATAAATAAAAAAACCGGTCTGGGCATCGAACCCGAGGCCTCACGGACTGCAGTCACGTACGGTACTACCAAACTCACTTTTCAAATTCCGAACGAAGTCGAAGTCGTGGTTGTACCCATACATATGTACGCCACTCTGCGCTGATGAAATCGCGAGTAAGATGTAGTACAAAAATCTCTAGAGTACATTTGAATAACAATGCTCTTATGTCAGAAGTTATGGCCAAAGCTATGGGCGCTCTGTTACGAACGCTTTTTACGAAACAAATAAAGTATACATTTCTGTAATTCCTTGTTTCTTAATCTTTTGCTCTCGTCAGCAGTTACGAGTATATCCCTTTAGAAATATTCATTTAGAAGTCAATATCCTTATAAATCATGAATATGTACAGTCATTTTAACCGTATTCAAAAAAGCAGAAGTTTTTCAATTCAGTTGTGTTATTTTTTTGTTACCAGTCCTGAACTTCATAATTTATTAAGCGATTTGGAAGAATATTTTTTGTTTGGAAGTGTATATTTAACGTTTGGTATCAAATAACACCCTTAGGGTTGAAAATTAAAGAATAAAGAATACTTTTTATTACAAAAATTCATCATAATGTCGGTAATACTTTTTAAAAGTTAATTATGTTTGAATTTTTGTGTCAGGCAACTCATTATGCCTGACACAAAAATGGTCCGTGTGGTGACGGGTTAAGAATACAGAGTGTCACCACCCCTCGTTATCCCGTGGGTATCGTAAGAGGCGACTAAGAAAGCAAACTACGCAGGACAACAGCACTGCAGAGAAGGAAAACTTGACACAAACCCTATACCAACCCGTCTGGCCAGCGTGGTATAGCAGGCCAAAACCTCCTTTTTAAGGAGAGGCTTATGTCCAGCAGTGGACTATTAAAGGCTGTTGATGTGATGTGATGTGAACTCATTAGAATATAATAACTAGGTTTAATATTTGAATGATTGAAAAATAAAAATAAAATAAATAGAATATCACTTTTATCTTTTAGTCATTCTGAAGTTGTCAAATGCCACAGGTATATGGAATAGGTACCTATCATGATACTAGTATTTTAAATTCCTGTTACATGAAATAACTCTGAAGGCTAGTTCACGTCACACTGAGTGTGCACACAAACAACCACAAGAATTAATGAATTCTAGTATTAAAAATTTAACTAAAATTTAATATGTATACCTAAGTATCTGCCTTTACTTAATTTTATGGAACTCAGTAACAGACTGTTCTTAATACAGGCTATTAAGTAGCCAAGCTAAAACGTCTGTGAATATAATATAAAGGTTATATTTTACGAAATAAAATATTACTATTAAAGTTTTTTATTATTTCTGAAGAAATATTTGTTTTAATGTAATAAGGTGGTTAAACGAGCAGACGGGTCACGTGATGGAAAGCGACTACCGCCGCCCATGAACGCCTGCAACTCAGGGGTCACAAGCGCGTTGCCGGCATTTGAGGATGGACGGTTACCGACCGAACCGTTACGACCTTCAGGAAAAGAGCGTACGCTCTTTTCTTAAAGGTCGTAACGGTCCGGTAATACCGCAGACGATAACTTTCTGTGATACCGCAGTATCACTCGTTGCGAGGCGGCCCATTTGGGTCAAAACGCTCTCCCACGATATAATGTCAACCCTAGAAAATACAGCAGCTATCGTTACATAAAGTTTATCGATTAGCCAGCCATAATATAAATGTTCCCAAGGCGTGCGGTAATCGTCTGCCCTTTAAGAGACATCAATTAGACGGGCGAAGGAATATTAAAGAGCGATCCTAGTGTATGAATATTAAAATGTACACACGGCCAAAGACATACGTGGTCAGTAGTAGATACCTGTGATTCATTAAACTATTATTAGATAAATTAATAACGAAGAATAGTATTGAATCACTAATAAGGTGCAAATGTATGAGTGGAGTTATTTACAATTTATTATTACGTATCCGGAATACCATACACATTTAAACCTGATCATGATAGTCAAATATAACATTTATACCTGTTTTATATGACATTACCAGGATTTATAAGAATAAGCCACTGGGTCTATCCAACTCATACCTATTCGATATGAAACTACCAGGACTTAGAGGAATAAGTCGATGGGACTAACTCACTTATACTTATTTCATTCAAAAATAATAAATCAAATGGACCAGTTTACCACATTCTAATTTGTTAAAATGGATATAACTAGTCAAATCAAATGAGACTTATCACAAATCAAAATCTACCTAACTAACAAAATCAAAGCCTACCATTGGTATCGCGTGTGCTAAACGTACTCAAATACTACAAAACCACTTCTATCACCCCATCTACTGCCACGCTATAGTGGAAATTTACCAAAACTTATCAACAAGGGAAGAAACAAAAATAACAAGGAAAGGAAGTTAGTTTTAGTCCAATACTCAAGTGCGAAAGAAAAACCTTCCAAGCCTGGTATCCATCAATTCTCTTAAAATAAACCTTCATATAACCAGTAAACCACTCATAAGGATTCCTTTAATAAAGAGATATCATAAACTATTAACTTAAATGAAACGTCAACGAATCAAGAGAAGATAAATCAAATAAACTCGCATCATTAACCCATAAATAAGTCATCGTTAGTTCCACTTTTCGAAGTCAATCATTGACATTGTTAATGGTATTCGATCGAATGCGTCTCGCATGCAAATATCCTGCGCTAGCGCCACGGGATACGACTGAGGGGGGTGGAAGGCGGCGCGAGGGTAGGGGGGCGTCGAGACGTCGTCTGCGCATCCCGTCCCGTAGCCGCTTTGATCTGCGCAAGAGTTCAACACGTCCAGTGTAGACATAACATTCGGGGAAGTAATTTAATTATTACTAAAATAATTGCTGTTTTTTTTTTCAATATGAAAATATTTTCCTTTATTTAATAGTTATTATGTTAATAGGGATGTAATGTTTAATTATGTATGAATTGTTTAAATAATTATGTTAAGTGTTATTAGTGTACTAATTATTGCAAACTACACGATCTTCATTTTTTTATTTGCTTTTTGGTTTTATTTACATAACCTTGTTATCTATTTTACACTTTTAAAATTTAAAATTGAATTATTATACCTACGTAATTATTGTTATTCTATGGTATGCTAAATGAAAGATACGTGAACGAACGAACGAACGATACGAAGAACGTGATAGGAGAAAATAACTGTGTTTAATGGAAGAAGAAAACTTAACAGATTTACAAGAAATTGCTGTATATCGATACGCGGCGAATGTGCGATAGGTCGCTCGGAATGATGTTGCAACGACTACCTATTTATTGTTCAATTAATTATATATATTGTAAATGAGGTTCTAACTGAGGAAAACTATAACAATCGAAATGTACGGATTTGCTCGTACATCAATCTATAAAGAAACCTGAAGTGGTACAGCCAGGTGTACGTATACCCGGCGAGCGTGTTGCGAAGCGCGCTCGCTTCCAGGGAGCAGAGGGAACATGGGGTTCCCACACGGGGGGTGTCGTCTACTCGTCTGTAGATGGCCCGAGGTATGTCGGGGCACCAGGGACTTCCTTTCTAAGGTATACCTCATTCCCCGGCTATTAGTACCCGAGACGGCGTGCGGCTTTAGTCGGTTCGAGTCCGACATGCCACCGATAGGTGGTATCTTAGGGGATTTCCGCACGGAAAAAAATAAAATACAAATGTCTGCGTATACCTACGATCTTAAATCGTCCTAACTCTTGATAGTAAGTAAGTTTTCTATATTGCCCTTATAGTAATACTAAGTCCACCTCCTTACTCATTTAAGTCTCCAATTGTCGCCCTATATTATTATGACTACCATATAAAATGGCCAGATATTGTCCCTTCTATGGTCTGTGCGCAATAAGTCTGTTGGGGGCCCGCGAACTGTTTATTTGCGCCCGCGCCGGCTAAAAGCGACGTTCAGTTAAATGCTATCACAACAGTCCGACACGAAGACACAGGGTTTATTTCCAGAGGATTTACGACATTTCATTTGGTGTGCTATGTTTAGTGTGCTATTATTTTATCAATTGTCTGCACGGATGACGTAGTGGTTTAAGCGGTCGCCACGCCGCTTCCTACTACGCCGAGTGTTGTGGGTTCAAACCCCACATGGGACGACACTTTGTGTGATCCACAAATTGTTGTTCTGAGTCTGGGTGTTCTTTGTGTCCGTTTCATGTATGTTTGTAAAGTCCCCCGCGACACAGGATTTATTCCTAATGCGGGAGTTGTCTTTTTAACAAAAAAGAAAAGAAAATTAAATTGTCGTTCGTTTAAGGAGCTTACGTCGTGATACTTCAGATAACAATTAAACACACATATATAAACTCGTGTCTTTTATTCCATATTATTAAGGGCATAGAGGCGTATTTAATTGGCCACATTTTGGGGCCTATAATTTTAGTCATCCCGTGGGTGTCGTAAAAGGCGACTAAGGGAGCGAAATACGCAGGACAACAGCACTGCAGAGGGAAGGAAAACTTGACACAAACCCTATACCAACCCGTCTGGCCAGCGTGGTATAGTAGGCCAAAACCTCCTTTCTAAGGAGAGGCCTATGTCCAACAGTGGACTGTTAAAGGCTGTTGATGATGATTGATGATGAATTTTAGTCCCACTTTCATAATACTTTTTTTATATGTCAGAGGGGGCAGACGAGTAGACGGGTCACCTGATGGAAAGTGACCATCGCCACCCATGAACGTCAAGGCAAGTCTATTGCCGTTGACCGATCATATGTTTCTAAATACATACATATTATAGACTAGCAGGTAGAATTTGAAAAGTGCTGCCTTAGTGTGGTAATACGGTACGCGACTGCAATCCATGAGGCCTCGGGTTCGATTTCCGGACCGGGCAAAATTTTATAGGGTTTTTCTGAGACCAGCTATTTGGTAGTAAAATATTATCAAAATCGGTCAAGCAGTTTTGAAGAACCCGGAACAAACAGACGGACAAAAAATATTTAAACTGGTTTTAAGGTATAGGTATCGTGCAAATAACCGTGTGAGCATGAAAAAAATCTATTATTTTGACATTACAAAGAGACACTTCAATTTTATTTATTTGTATAGAAGGACAACTAAAATAAATAATTATGTTTCACATGAATGCTTTAACAAATCGTCTCTTATCAATAAATATTACGCATATATTATATTAATATATAAATACTCTCACGAGTCTTTATCTCAGAAGGAATAGACAAATTCGTATAAAACTTATAGCGATATAAGAATTGGAATTATAGTATAAAAGGCAAAGTACACAAGGGAAAATAATGGATGGATAGTCATGAAACATAATTAAATAATTTACACAATAGGACAAAACCTTGTCTTCCGTAATGAGTCCACATTGAACAAACCGTACCATTCAAGATACTTTAAACTGTCATTTGTTCAAAGAAACCCCATTTATTTTTAATCAAAGCGAAATAATTAAAGATAAAATAAAAGAGATACTACGCAATGGTAATTTTCATGTCGTGTTATTGAAATGGCCATTTAAAAGCCCATTATTTTATGTTTAACAGTGTGAACTGATCGCAATCGTCGTCGTAAAATAAGTTTGTAATGAAAATGTCGCCATTTGCAATTGTTTGTTTTTTCTTTTGTAACAATCTTGAGGCATGAACTGTCATTGAGATTTCGAAATGATTCCTTTTTTAAATTGAGGACCATTCCCGCCTTTCTTTTGTTTTGAATGAGAAAAATCATGTGTTCCAATTTTGAATTACAACTCAATATTGATTTATTCGTATTTAAGTCCCGTTGAGTCAATAGGGACTTAAAATCAACCTTCAAGGTCAGTCGACACAGTTTTGCAGTTACGTCCTTCCGCTTTTAATCCCTTTAAATTATATTCGTTCGTTTCTTCCGCTTGTATGACGCATTATACAAGTTTAAAACGTCGTATGGTCCCACAATTAACACTAGTGCATTCGTCACATATTTATTGTGAGAGAGCTGTCTAGACGTTTAAATATATCCACGCGGGAGTGTCCCGGTGTCCGACACTTCAGAACATGGTAGCTATACACAGGAATACCTTATTGAAACGTTCGTTATATTTAGAAAGATTAATTATAGTGTCCGATTTGTGCAATAAAGATTTAAGTGGGAATAGTTGGAATTCCTACTGAGTTACATACAGTTGTACTTATACGGGAAGTGTTTTACACTAAAAAATTAGCAAACTCACTGTCCATCTTCTGTACATCTCAAACGCGTTGCCGGCCTTTTAGGAAGGAGTACGCTCTTTTCTTGAAGGTTTGAAGGTCGTATCATAAAGTAAAGATTATTGTATACTATCTTTATCGCGGTAAAACGTAGCCAAATTTTTTTTCTTATGGTTGTATATATACAAACATTATTTGGTAAATTTTCGTGCATATCACAATTGCAAAGACTGCCTGACTCACAAAACAAAAGTTATAAAACAGTCGATATATTAAGTCCCATCTTTAAGACGACACTAAGTCGCAGTGTCTAGTAAGACACTCATAATTTACGAAGACCAGAGCAATTGTTACAATAGTCTTGTAGCTAGGCGGGCGGCGCGGCGGCTGGCTGCCAAAACCCATACGTTATCGCTCCACAATGATATCTCGAGATAAGGAGCATTGACCCCAGATTTATTGAACTAGCGGATTCTGACGTATCACTGTCTATAAGTTTTTAAAGGAAAATTGCTCGAGATGGCCAAAAAAATCACGTCAAAAGGACTTACTTATCAGTCCGTGTGTCCTTGTCCTTTTAAGCAACTCCCCCCTTTTTTTTTTTTCTGTGCGGCAATCCCCTCGGATACCACCTATCGGTGGCATGTCGGACTCCGTCGCACGCCGTCTCGGGTACTAATAGCCGGGGAACCAGGTATACCTTAGAAAGGAAGTCCCTGGTGCCCCCCCCCTATATTAATGGCAGGGAGGGGTGGATTGAACCCAAGTATTGCTTAACACTGATTTTCTGAGAGGCTGTGATATCAATCTGATCAAACATCTCATCATTCTTGGAATAGTGTATGCTCTGTTTACATGTTTTCTGTAAAAATATAAATATTTAAAAAAACTCCCTTAACCCTATCAATATCACGATATGTCTTCAACTTAACACTCAATATTTTTACCCCCTTTTCACACTTTAATGATTTATCATTCAAACATAAAAATTAAATTAAAAAGGTGCTAATCCCACAAAAACATTAATTAAAATAGCACTCTCAAGGAGCTGCGCGTCTTAAAAAAACTCTTTAAAAATATAATAGTTACCCCTGACTGCGGTCGTCATAAAATATGCTTAAACAGCCGTCGTAATGATATGAAAAAGCACGAGACAGATGGCAAAAAGGTTTGAATAAAAAATTGTGGGGTCTTCTTGCTGAACGTAGGGGTAACACGAGAGAGCGGCAAACCTAACAGCAATGATGGTTTTTTACCTTTTAATGACGGGCCTGTTGGAGTGGATAGTGACCCTGACTGCTAAGCTGGAGGTTGTGGGTTCGATTACCACCCAGGACAAATATAATGATAAGCACGATCATTTGTTCTGTATCTGGGTGTAATTTGTAGGGTCTGCCTAGTTTGGCATTAGACTACCGTGTGTGAGATGTGTGAAATTAGTACAGTGATTCTTAAATAAGGTTTTTCTGCCACAACTCAAAATATCTGAGTTACCAAGTTGTTTGAAATAACAGGTTCAATTGTTGATTAAAGAAATATGATCATCGGTACTGTATAAACCTTTTTATACGTTCCCCTACATCCAGGTCGAATGTCCACCTGGTTCCAACTACTTTATTTGTTTATTAAG